TGGGTTTTTGCCAACACGGTTCCAAAAACATTTTTGTTTTTTCCCAAAGGGGTAAATTTAAAAATTTTTGGGGTCCAAGAAAAAAATTGGAGGGGGCCCCCCCCCCCCCCCCCCCCCTCCCCCGTCGTGATAAAATGAAAAGAGTCGGTGAACTCTGTCGAGGGGACCACCAAAACACCAAGTCGTGTGTGCAAATTAAAAGTGTTTGTTTGTCGGACGGGTGGCAGGCGGTAGTGCAAGTACTCCCCCCCGCTTAAGGGTTGCCTGACAATGGCGGTTGTGTGCGGTATAATATTGTTTGTTGCGTGTGTGGGTGTTTTTCTTTTGTGTGTTTTGGTGATGCGCGAGTTTTTGTCCCTTCATTGTGTTGTCTATAGACGAAACCTCTTTATGCTCTCGAGCTTCCCGGTTCGAGTCTCGCGGTGAGGTCAATTTTTTTTTCTTCACGGGGGTGAACTTGTGAAGGTCGGTGGTGTTGTAATCTGGGGCGGGGGCGGCAACGATTGAGTGCTCTTAGCCGTGCATACCGTAGGCGTTAGATCATAGACCTTGCATCCCTACAAAGGCGAGGTGGAGCACGGCAATGATAGGCGGGGGTTTGATGGAAATTGGACGGCGTGTGTGCGGCGGAAAAGAAGGGGGGATACGCAGAGGGGGGAGTATCGAAACGAATAAGACTTCCCAAACGGGTGGTTTGTCCCCCCGTTGAAGGGCTTGTTTTCTCCTCCCCGCCGTGATTGATTGTGTTGAGACGTGGGGTGCTGCTACGGGATGCGGCGAGACACCTTCGTTGTCAGAGTCTGGAAGAACAGTAGGTGTTGTGTCCAAGCAACGCTTCAGCTGTGTACAGTACAAAGGCGGCCCCGGGGTAAGGCCGGTCGCCCTGTTTTAAGACCGGGGGAGTTCGCTTGACCCGGGGGGAATATTCAAGCGTTTAGTAGCCTCCTAATCTGAATAGGGCCAGGTTACCGGCCGGCCCAAGTTCCCTTTGGTTGTATGCGGCCGGTAACCTGGGAACCACTGCTTGCGTGCGATCTTTGTTTGACCAAGTAAACGGTTCGAACGGAAGATTTTCCGGGAACATGGGCGGGCAGTTCAAGCGTCTCGTCGAGCTTGTTATATGGCATGTGAAGGCCTGGTGAATGTTTTTGTAGGGTTGTCTCGAAGGGGATCAATTTGTCTGTAGCAAATGCGGCACAATTGCGCTGGATGTGTAACTGTCTGGTGTGAAATTGTGGTTTCTTCTGAATCAGTGACCACCCTTTGGTGGTGCATTGTGATGCTTTTGAAGGATGCATGTTGTTTTGAGGAAACCTTTGATAACCCCTTCTTGACGCTGCTGTTTTTCGACGACGAGTTGTTGCCGTGCTGTGTTTACCCACTTGTCTCTTCTGACGGCAGACGGCAGCATTCCAGTGTGCTTTTTCAAATTTTCAGGGGTTTTGTCGCGTTTTTCTTGGTTGGTTTACTCCTGTTGTCTTGGTCCTGTGCCGTGTCCCTTGGGTCCGTCGAGTTCGTTGCTGAGACAGGCTGTGCTTGTGCGCGTGCTGGTTTTCTTCAAGTAATTCCTTCGGGCGTCTAGGGTGGAAAGGGGGGGGGGAGGGAGAGCGTGATGCCGCGGTGTTGGATGTGTGTATGCGTTTCTCCCTCCTTTTCTGTAGACGTGGGAGAGCAATAATCATAATAATAATAAAACTAAAACGTAACAGGCAGTGTCCGCTAAATGCTATGAATTCATTAATTTGTCCCGGACTCTTTTTAACTGTGGATGGAAACGAGTTTGGCGTGTTTTGGTGAGGAACGGGAAAAAAAAATAGAGACACAGATACGGTAAATCTGCTGTGTCCCATGTTCTGTCGGTCGCGCAGTAGGCAACCCAATAGGAGATTGTTACACAACTGCTACTGGTGCTGTTGTGCGGTCAAGACGGCGCGGTTGCTGTACGCGTGGTACCATCTGGCGCAAAATCAGCGACAGCAGCAGTAGTGCCTCCTGGGCGATGATGTTGCAGCGTTTGTGTGCTCGTGATGTGAATTTCGCGAACCAACCCCAACCGGAACCACTGACTGGTGAACAGCTCAAACTAAGCCCAGTATGTAGCACGTTCCTCTCCCCGCTCAATTAAAATATAAGGGCTGCCTCCAATCCGACATCTACTTTCCTTTGAACGTGGGTGCAGGTTGGTTACGACGAACGATATGTTCTCCAAATCAAACGGCACAAGACTTGGGTTGCGCGAACAGTCGGCATGCGGCTTTTTTTGCCGAACTATAGCATTTTTGTGACCACCGATGGACTCGAGTTTTTGCTAGATTTTGGGATTAGCAACTGACACGAGTTCAATGTGAAGACAACAACAACAACTTTGCGGAATTTGTTCCTTTCCCCGCCCACTTAACTAGATTTCATTTACGGAATTTCGACTTGGAGTAGAATTTTCTTGAACAATTTCGTCGTTCAGCAATTTAATGCGTACATTTTTCAAGCGATATAACTACTACGTGACGCCTGGTCGACCCACGTCGGCGGATGTTTCGGGTACCTACGCTCTCGACCATCGCTTCTGCCATGCGTGCACGTGACCCATTGACTGCTTTTGCTAACAAGGCCCCTTGTTCACAGACACTTTGTTTTGGGCGGGGGTACATACACCCTTGCACACGATAGCCTTCATATATCCCCAGTGTGTCAGTCTACGGGCAAACCGAGAGGGGGGGTGTTACTAATTTAGAAGAAATTTTACGTCAGAAGGAATCTACATCGAAGGAAACGTCGACAATGAATCGGGCGAGGAGAGGCAAGGAAAGGAGAGAAACGTGGCTGCAGCAGATTGTAGAGCTAACCAGCCAAGACCCGAACGCTAGGCTAGCACATGATTTGTGCAAGGGGAGACAAATAAAATTCAGGTCTTCGGGAGTTCCGATCCGACCGGCGCAACTTGTTCTTGTCCGGCCGGGGTCACCCTGAAAAGCACACACTGAGGCGTGCCTCATGCTGAAGGAATATGTCCCTGACGTTGTATTTATCTTGCCTTCAAGGCGAAAAACAGCAACAAAGATTAGATGAAACGAAGTCCACACAAAGAAAAAACATACGTAAAACGGTGAACAACGAGCTGTACAAAAAGCCAAGTAAACTTTCCCACCGCGTTGTCTGCATACGAAACAACCCTGCCAAAGAACTTGCAGGGAAAGGGTGCACAAAAAGAAGAGAATAATAAAAGTAAATAGACGAAACTTCCATCCACACGCGTGCCTCATCCTACACTTCCTCCCTCCCCTTTGGACCAAATGTCGGAAAAAAGAGGAGAGACGAGTCCATTATCCGGCAGACGTCACTGAATCCTCACTACAGTACATCCATACCACTGCCTCGGCTCGGAAACCCACATATTTGATGTCATAATGTGTACGTGCGTGGATTTGTTTCAAAAAGCTTTATGTTCACAGCTTTCTTGCGGCCTCCTCGCTTCGTGACCGTTGTCACGCCGCATCCCAACCACCGCTGTAGCTCCATCTTGATTATTTTTGTACAACTCAAGCGCGGCAACAAAATTGTACGCCTAGGCGTCATCGTCGCTCGAGACGGACAGTGGAGGCTGTGTCGCCCGAAGCAGCGCAGCCGCCCTCGCCGCAGGACTCTGGCCCCGCAACGAAACCAGCATCATCCGCTTCAGGATTATTTTTCGCGGAAAATGCTGGGCACTGGTGTGGGGTGTCGCGAAAGCAAGTCTTCCGTTCCTCGTCCTTCAAGGTGAGCAGTAGCGCCCGGGGGGGGGGGGGGGGGGAGGTATCTTCAAAAAATTGTGTGTCGGCAACCGGCAGCCGTTGAACTCTTGACGACGCATGAATTTTTCAAGTTGTAGATAGCTGAACGCATTCTGCAAAGAACGGGCCCGCAACCACGAAACAATCCGTCAACAAATAGCGCAGAGGCCCAAAGTTTCGCGAAAAACAACAACATAAGGGTTACGACTGCTTCAGCAGCGTATCCTACACCAACTTCCGCCTGGTTCTTTTCTCGAAAGTGGCGAAAAACATGAAAAAAAAATGAGCCTAGGCTCGAATTCGACGGTGCCTAATTGCGGGCCCATTCGATAAACAGAGGGGAAACGCGAAACAGTGTTGGCCTGTCTTGCCCATCTCTACGGTCGTAAAGGACAACGCCCACGCCACTCACCAGGATCTTGAAGTGAGAGAAGTGCAGCTTTATCTTGGTGTCGGCGTAGTCTTTCGTCTCGAGGCCGACCACATCGCAGCCGTCGCCCGGCGGCCCCTGGCGCAAACGCATTTACATTTTCTCACCTGGGTGTGT